TTTAATATTAAACATGGTTGAAAGTCGGTTTTGTGCTGAGCTGTTTTCCAGATGCAGAGCGACTATGAAACAGGATAAAAAAGGAAAATCAGAGAATCATAAGAGAAAAGTGTTATTTAATCTTAGGTCGACTGTGTAAATGTACTTTTTTGCATCTTTTTAAGCCCTGAAACCTCTGAGACCTGGTTTCCCCTCCACATTTCTGTTGTGTTTTCTCTTTCAAAAACCCAATTTTATTATCTTACAGACATTCTTAATATTTTACACTGTATTTCCTGGAACTCTGATGCTCTAATGCACAAACTACAGGTTAATCAATGGGTCAGCGAACATTTAAGGCTCAGTGTGGGGTGAAACTGTCACAGTGCTGCCCCCCTGTGAATTCACTGCATTACTACACAAGCACTGTCTTTATAACATATTTAACACTGAGTTTCTTTACAGCATTTTAAGTGTTTGGTGGAAAATCATATTTACATGTTGTGTGTTTGTGCAGGCGTGAGAGTGCGGACGTGTGGAAGGTGGTCTTGGGCATTAATAACCTGGACCACCCATCCGAGCACATGCAGACGCGGCGCGTGGAGCGAGTGATCGTACACTCGCGCTACAACCGCGCCGTGGTGGACTACGACATCAGCATCATTCAGCTGGACGCCGAGGTGGACGTCAGCAGCTACGTCCGGCCGGTTTGTCTGCCTCAGCCTGGACGTCTGCCCACGCCAGACACCTACTGCTACATCACTGGCTGGGGACACATGGGCAACCGCAGTGAGTCTCACACTAACGCAAGTACAAACACTAAAACTAACACTAAAATGACAAATAACACTGACTCCAACACAAACACTGATATTAACAATAACACTAACACAAATGCCATCATTAACACTAACACTAACTCTAATACCAACATTAACACTGACAAAAAAAAACTAACAATAAAATGAATACTAGCACAAACAAAAATACTAACACTAACACAAACACTAACTCTAACACTAAAACACATACTAACACTAACATTAACACAAATAAAATTAAATTGACACTAACTTTAGCACAAATTCTAACACAAACACTAACATTGACACCAGCACAAGCAAAATGCTAACACTAACACAAATACTAACATTAAAACAAACACTAACTATAATAGTAACATTTACACAAAAAAATACTAACACAAACATTAACAATTACACAAATACTACCACAAACACCAATACTAGCCCTAACACAAACAAAAACACTAACACAAACACTAACATTGACACTAACAAAAATACAAATGAAACACTATCATGAAAACTAACATAAACACAAACACTAACATTAACAAACACAAAAACTAACACACACATTAAACAGACTAAATACTAACTCTAACATTAACATTCATTACACTATAGTGAATATTAACTGGAAAACAGAAATAAACAGCAGCCTCTAGTGTCTGAAACAGAAACTGCACCTACACAGATAGTATACCATTTCTCCAAATCTCTCTTTCCCTCTCCCCCTCCCTCTCTCTCTCTCTGTCTCTCTCTCTCTCTCCCTCCTTCTCTCTCTGTACTCTCTCTCTATCTCTCTCTCTCTCTGTCTCTGTCTCTCTCTCTCTGTCTCTCTCTCTCTCTGTCTCTCTCTCCGTCTCTCTCTGTCTCTGTCTCTCTCTGTCTCTGTCTCTCTCTGTCTGTCTCTGTCTCTCTCTGTCTCTCTCTCTCTCAGTGCCGTTTAAGCTGCAGGAGGGGGAGGTGAGGATCATCTCTCTCTCTCAGTGTCAGTCTTACTTTGATATGAAGACCATCACCTCCCGGATGCTCTGTGCAGGATACGAGGCGGGAACCATCGACTCCTGCATGGTGAGAGTCTGACAGTGCTTTGTCCTGAAAGGGGAACTCCACCGATTTTACAAAATGCTGCATAATTAAGTGGTTAAGAGTCATTCAGAGTGGCTTGGGGTGAAACGCTCCGTTCTAGAGAAACTTACCGAGTCAGGATTGTTTACGGTGGTCTCTCTAGAACAGAGCGTTTCTGACCAAACCACACGACATCTTAACCATTTCATCTTACAGCAGATTCTGAAGAATCGGTGGACTTGCCCTTTCAAAGAAGACAGATTAGGGACTGAGTATGATCTGCGATTCACAGCGTCGCCCTCCAGCGGCTCAAACCCTGTATGTTTTGTGTTCCTGTGTGTTTCAGGGTGACAGTGGGGGTCCGCTGGTGTGTGAGGACCCTGACGGTCGGTGGTCTCTGTACGGTTTGACCTCCTGGGGGTCTGTGTGTTTCTCCAAAGTGCTCGGACCCGGAGTGTACGCCAATGTCACACACTTCACAGAGTGGATCCAGAGACAGATTTACCTACACACATTTCACCTGGACTAGAACACACACACACACACACACACACACACACTCACACACACACACACACACACACACACACAGGTAATGCAGTCAGAGTGTGTGTGTGTGTGTATGTGTGAGGGATGAAATGTTGCTGATGCAGGAAAAATGGAGAGAAAAGGCGAGTGTGTATCTAATCATTCCAAAAGGGGTGTGAGAGAGTTTGTGTGTGTGTGTGTGTGTCAGTGTGTGTGTGTGTGTGTTATATAAAGGGATGATAACAGTAGGAGGAGTTTATTCATTATTGACTGTTAAGTGTTGCTGCTGTCTGTTGCTACTTTTGCCAAACAGCCGACCAAACACACACACACACACACACACACACACACACACACACACAGAGCAGCACACTTCACACACTCCGTCCATCTGTGTGTGTGTGTGTTTGAACAGGTGTTCACTAATCAGAGCCCACAGATTTAAGAAGTCCCTCAAAGGTTTGGGGACACTGAGCCTTTCAGAAGGTCTTTAATACTGATGATCGTGTTTAGTGGTTTTACAGTAACTTTATTTAGAGGACAACAGTATATAACGTGTGAATATTAGTGACAGTATTAGTGCGAGTTCGGGAGTAAAGGCCTCCTGCTTGTTGTGATGTCACTCCTGGTAATGAAACTTTTTTTAGGAATTTTAGCTTAAAGCCAGCGTTAAACTACACGACCTTCACCCCGATTTTAGCCCTGATTCTCAGTCTGAGTCTGAGCTGTCGGCTCTAGTCTGCAGATGTTTGAGTCAGTCGGAGTCAGCAGATGGAGAGAGAGTCGAGTCGTATATGAGGGGCGTAGACTCAGATTTACTGCCTCCCGATCACGTTTCAGACCGGTCAGAGCTTATCAAATACGTCTGATTATTTCGACCTGACTCTGAGTGTAATCTAGCGTAAACTAGTCAACGACTCAATCTGAGCGGATTCCTGCAACAACCAATGAAAACTGAGAGCACAAAAGAACAAAATACAGCAAGATAACAAAGAAAAACGGAGAACAGTCTCTCACGTGTGGAGCGAAGCTTTTTAATGAGCTGAGTTTAAGATACAATCAAGTTTATGTACATTTAAAACTCTAAAAAATACCAACTGATCATATTTTAAATCCATGATCCTCAATTAAACATGTTTACCTGCTGCTTCTTTACTGTTTCAGCGCAAACGGCAGAGAAAACAGCAGCAGCTGCTACACGTTTGTTTATCTGCGTCTCCTAGTAACGGGAGAATGTAAGAGTTCAGTGAGTTCAGTGAGCTCCATTCGGTTCAGCAGCAGCTGAAAAGTAGAGTAGTGTGTGATCCCTAATCGTTTAGTGTGGATCCCTAATATTTCAGTCGCCCAAAAAAATCTGCAGAGCCAGTCTGATAGTGTGAGACGCCCAGTCTGTTATAATCTGTTAGGACTTTAAAAGTCGTGTAGTGAACCCGAGGCTTTAGTGATGATAATTGGTGATCATTAATGAAAGTTATACTTGAAATATATGTGTGTTCTTAATGGTAATTAAACTGAAGCTTAAAAACCTGATTACACTTTAATTGCTACGTAACACTGTCATAAGCGTGACGTGGCAGATGCTGAATGCTGCCGTGAGCATGAGTGACAGTCTGATCTTAGTCTGATGTGCTGCAGCAGATCTGTAAATCTGAAAACTCGACCATTCATTTTGGACTTGCTCAGGAGCGCCCTCTAGCGTCTGAGAAACCCAGAAGAGATTACAGAGTGTAATTCTCCTCTCTACAAGTTCTCTGATGTTAACATCTGGGGACACAAAAACCTGTGGCATGGCAAAGTGAGTAAAGGAAAACGATACTTAAATAAAACATTGAATTTATCCTATAATGTGGCGTACAGTCCATTTAAAAGGCTAGCAAGCTCACTGGTCACTCAGGCGCAAATAAACTGCAGCTTGTATGAGGTGACAGGTGACAAACTCTGACAGGTGAGGAAAAATTTGACGTAACTTCTTCCGACGTAGTCCCTCAGATCCAAAAGAGGGAACAGAGAAGTGCAAGAGTCCCTCAATCGAACGCAGAGTCCTGTAGCTAACCACAAAAAACAGGCTACAGAAATAAACTACCAGCCCTTTTATTTCCGAAGGCGAGGTGTCCCTAAACGCTTGACCGGCGCAGTGTGTGTCTCTGTGTGTGTGTGTTGGCTGTCTGGCAGTTCTGCGTTATAGAGCACTCCGTATCAGTATCAGTAGTAGTTAGAGTTACTCTGTACAGGTGTAAAGGGCTTCTTCCTGAGGGACGTCTGTATCTGCTGCTATCTCTAATGTAACCTGTTGCCTAATCACAGCCGCTGATGTCCAGCCTGGCCAACATCTACAGTCTGTAAGGGAACAGCTCTGTCTGAAATGCTAATGTTGCTAACAGTGAATGAAAGCGAGTTGCCTATTGTGAATTATGAACTGGTCTGTCCAGCCTCCACCAACGGGTGTGTTCTTCTGTTGCTACTGTTGTGAGGCTGAAGAAGCTTTACAGAATGGTGGAAGAAATCCAGTTTAACCCAGTTTATATCACAATACCTACATTTAGAGTCAGTTATTCATTCAGCCTAATGAGAAACTGTAGAACAGACTCAGTTTATATCACAATACCTACATTTAGAGTCAGTTATTCATTCAGCCTAATGAGAAACTGTAGAACAGACTCAGTTTATATCACAATACCTACATTTAGAGTCGGTTATTCATTCAGCCTAATGAGAAACTGTAGAGGAGCTGTAGATCTCTGTGTGTACTATATGTATAAAAATGTATAATATATTACACATATAAACAGAAACTGTTGTCTGGTACAGTTTCAGTCTCACAGCAGTAGCTATGAAGCCTGGAGAGAGAAATTAGCCTTAAGAAAATGAGGTAATGCTAATTGGAGGTAGTTTATCTAGCTTCTGTTCATTGTTAGCCAGGTTAGCGTATTTCTTTGAGCTGCTCCTCTGATCAGTATCGCCGGTCGGCTTCTTTCTCAGCAGCTCTACGAAACTCACTCTTTTAAGCAGGTGTAAAACGTTTTAAACCACTGCGTGTTTCTTTAAAGTGAACCTTTTTTTCACTGCACAAAGTCGTGGAACCTTTCAGCACCAGAAAACGTCGTTTTTGATTGGAACCAACAGGAGCTGACGGTACTCGATGGTGTTCTCCTCTGTCTTTGCTCCACTTACAGCTGAAGCGAACGACAAATTAGCGAATTATTTACTCTTCTAGATGAAGATGAAGTCACCAAGCACTGTTACATCACCAACAAGAGCAAGAGAATGGAAACGAGTGTGTTGATCGCTGTTTTTAGAACATGTTACTTTGTAAAGAGTTGCTAAGGCGACATAAGCTAGTCTGGATGCTAATGCTATTGGGATTTATGCTAGCCTCCACAAAGCGAGGGCCATTTGTGCTTCTATTTACACTTTCAGGTGTGTCTGATAGCGGAGGAGGGCGGTATATCGTTCAGTACCAGCCGATGAGTTGAGCTAAATAGGACTCGGTAGCTAAAAGCCAAATAAGACCCTATAGAGTGGCAGAAAACGACCAAAACGACAACTGAGTTGCTAGTCGATGGACGATTCCAGCTGTCCTTCACGCAGGTGGAAAATAACCTAGAACTAGAACCGTAAGTTCAACTGTTCCTGTTTGGTTCTTCTTTTTCTGTTGTGCAGTGGAAAAACACCCAAACTCTATAGTGTCTCAGTAAAGTTCTCTCAAACTGAGCTGAAACCGAGAAAACAAAGCTGGAGCAGCTGTGTCTGTGTGTGTTTGTGTAGATGTATGTAGTGTACTTGTATTTCTACACTTGTGAGGAGCCAAATGTAAAAGAATTGTATTTTCTTTGTACAACTGTATGTTTGTCTGATTGCTTATTATTAGTCTTTGGTCGTATTTATGTTTATAGTGCATAGATTTTAAAATGAGGATTAGGTAAATGTATTTACAGTGCCTCACAAGGACAGTAAAAGAAGTACGAGTACACGTGTGCGTGCGCGTGTCTCTCTCAGTGCAACATTCCGTCTCCGATGTTGTTTTGTAATTTTTTAAGAGTATTTTTCTACAGCTTTTCTATGTGTGCACATGAACTTCAGTTAAAGTCTGGAATATGAGTTACTGTATTTTTACCATGTTTTCTTTCTCTTGTACGGCGCTGTTTAGACTTAGACAGGTGATGTTTCTGTAAAAATATGAATAAATAAATGAAAACGAAATACAGTGGATTTCTATTTCTAAAATAAACCTCGTTAAACACTGTGAAGTTTCTGATCTTACTTTTACAACCTTGAGTCGAGCCTCACAATTTGTTCCAAATATGAGCATAACGTGGACTACAGAATGACGCACGACTTCAGTGGTCTGTATCAGAGGCGTCATAGAACTAACAGATCTGACCCAGATACTGTAAAGTGAATAGAACAGATCTGACCCATATACTGTAAAGTGAATAGAACAGATCTGACCCAGATACTGTAAAGTGAATAGAACAGATCTGACCCAGATACTGTAAAGTGAATAGAACAGATCTGACCCATATACTGTAAAGTGAATAGAACAGATCTGACCCATGCAGTGTAAAGTGAATAGAACAGATCTGACCCAGATACTGTAAAGTGAATAGAACAGATCTGACCCAGATAGTGTAAAGTGAATAGAACAGATCTGACCCAGATACTGTAAAGTGAATAGAACAGATCTGACCCAGATACTGTAAAGTGAATAGAACAGATCTGACCCATATACTGTAAAGTGAATAGAACAGATCTGACCCATATACTGTAAAGTGAATAGAACAGATCTGACCCATATACTGTAAAGTGAATAGAACAGATCTGACCCAGATACTGTAAAGTGAATAGAACAGATCTGACCCATATACTGTAAAGTGAATAGAACAGATCTGACCCATATAGCGTAAAGTGAATAGAACAGATCTGACCCATGCAGTGTAAAGTGAATAGAACAGATCTGACCCAGATACTGTAAAGTGAATAGAACAGATCTGACCCAGATAGTGTAAAGTGAATAGAACAGATCTGACCCATATACTGTAAAGTGAATAGAAAAGATCTGACCCATATACTGTAAAGTGAATAGAACAGATCTGACCCATATAGTGTAAAGTGAATAGAACAGATCTGACCCAGATACTGTAAAGTGAATAGAACAGATCTGACCCATATACTGTAAAGTGAATAGAACAGATCTGACCCAGATAGCTGTAAAGTGAATAGAACAGATCTGACCCAGATAGTGTAAAGTGAATAGAACAGATCTGACCCATATACTGTAAAGTGAATAGAACAGATCTGACCCATATAGCGTAAAGTGAATAGAACAGATCTGACCCATATAGCTGTAAAGTGAATAGAACAGATCTGACCCATATACTGTAAAGTGAATAGAAACAGATCTGACCCAGATACTGTAAAGTGAATAGAACAGATCTGACCCATATAGCGTAAAGTGAATAGAACAGATCTGGCCCATATAGCGTAAAGTGAATAGAACAGATCTGGCCCATATAGCGTAAAGTGAATAGAACAGATCTGACCCATATACTGTAAAGTGAATAGAACAGATCTGACCCATATACTGTAAAGTGAATAGAACAGATCTGGCCCATATAGTGTAAAGTGAATAGAACAGATCTGACCCAGATACTGTAAAGTGAATAGAACAGATCTGACCCATATAGCGTAAAGTGAATAGAACAGATCTGACCCAGATAGTGTAAAGTGAATAGAACAGATCTGACCCAGATACTGTAAAGTGAATAGAACAGATCTGACCCAGATAGTGTAAAGTGAATAGAACAGATCTGACCCATATACTGTAAAGTGAATAGAAAAGATCTGACCCATATACTGTAAAGTGAATAGAACAGATCTGACCCATATACTGTAAAGTGAATAGAACAGATCTGACCCAGATACTGTAAAGTGAATAGAACAGATCTGACCCATATACTGTAAAGTGAATAGAAAAGATCTGACCCAGATACTGTAAAGTGAATAGAACAGATCTGACCCAGATAGTGTAAAGTGAATAGAACAGATCTGACCCATATACTGTAAAGTGAATAGAACAGATCTGACCCATATAGCGTAAAGTGAATAGAACAGATCTGACCCATATACTGTAAAGTGAATAGAACAGATCTGACCCATATACTGTAAAGTGAATAGAAAAGATCTGACCCATATACTGTAAAGTGAATAGAACAGATCTGACCCATATACTGTAAAGTGAATAGAACAGATCTGGCCCATATAGTGTAAAGTGAATAGAACAGATCTGACCCATATAGCGTAAAGTGAATAGAACAGATCTGGCCCATATAGCGTAAAGTGAATAGAACAGATCTGACCCATATACTGTAAAGTGAATAGAACAGATCTGACCCATATACTGTAAAGTGAATAGAACAGATCTGGCCCATATAGTGTAAAGTGAATAGAACAGATCTGACCCAGATACTGTAAAGTGAATAGAACAGATCTGACCCATATACTGTAAAGTGAATAGAACAGATCTGACCCAGATAGTGTAAAGTGAATAGAACAGATCTGACCCAGATACTGTAAAGTGAAACATTTTTTACAATATTTCTGCACAGATTTTAAACCATGGTGGAAGAAAACTCTTGAATGAAGAGGAGGGGCCACTGAAATGCAGGCTAAATCTGACGTCTTCCTTAAAGCACTGTTCAAGGAGGTTTAGAATATGACTTTTAGAGATCATTTTAGATCACAAATGACAAAAATGTTGTGTGTTTCAAGTACAGGTATCAGTTCACTATTTAACCTGATAACAGCTAAGTTTCTGACTCTGTATGTGATAATAAGTATGATTAGAGATTTTTTATGAATACACACGTTAAAGCAAGCATTTTGTTTTACTGAAAATCAAACGCTTAATTTAAGTAACACATCATATAATAATGACAGTATGGTTTTTATAATATATAATAAGTAACATAAGCTTGTTGTAATTTGTTATTCAAAGATGTAATTAAATTACTAGATACTCAGTGACAGTTATTCAATGACAGTAATATTAATAATCCTTTAAAAAATACTTGTTCTACAGTAAAATCTTACCAAATATAAACATTCCTACTTTCCTACATCAGTCAAACCCACCTGTCCACTTCCTGATGCCTGAGGAAACAGGAAAAGTATTCAATCATCATTTACTTCTTTAACTGATTTCCAGATAAACACAGTTTCAGTGTCAAACTGTACAACAAACCGCTTTACCTGACAATCTGGAACAACGCCACTTTGGAAGTCCTTCCTCTGTAAACAGTCCCAGAACTCCAGTGACAGCTGGGCTGGAATAGATAGGGTTTTACTTTAGAGACTGAATCATGAGGCCGGAACTCCACAACTGCAAACTCTAAACAGCAAAAATGTTTTTGTTCTGACAAACATTAAGAAACCCAGAATCAAAATTAAGCTACTTACAGGTCAAACTAACGTAGCTAAAGCGCTGACAATGAAGCCTCATATGAACCTGGATATACTGCCTCAGTTTAACCACCACAGCAGCTGTTTAACCTGTTTTCCAGTTTCACTGACTCACTCAGAGTGATGTGTGTACCATAGATATCCATTCCTAGATGCTG